CCTGACATAAACACGAGACAGGTTATTTTGTAGTGGCTTATGAAAATAGATAATCCAGAATATATTTCATTACTTCACTTTTTTTAATGAAAGCTGCTAATAAAAATAGCAAGCTCGGATTCCTTCGTACACTTATTTTACAGAAAAAAAATCACTGTTATTGACAAATCTGAATGGTAATAATATATAAAGGCAATATTGGACTGTGAAATGTCGTTTTAATACAAACAAATAAACAAAATAGTAATATTTGTCATGCGAGTTGCCACATCCTGTCTGTTGCGTGTCACCTAAAATATGCAACTCACCCAGCTGAGCAGCCCTTAAAAAGAAGTTGGTTGTTAAGAAAAAACAAAAACACTGACTGTGACATCAGTGCTTAGGGTTCATGTGTTCATATTTGTTCCTTCCTTCCCACACATGAAGTTCATATCTCCATTGTGTGACAAAGGATGCTTAATCATGCAGCTCTCATGTTTACCAATTGAAATCTACAAGAATATACTATTGTTAGGCATTCAATGGGGCATTCAGCTGTTCGCATGGTTAATAATAATATCAACAAACTGTATTTTTTGAAGTTTGCCTGTTCTTTTAGTTTTCCTGGAATTTGCACCATTGCTTTTCTATTGGTCTGGACTTTGATTCTTTTAATTTCAACCCTTCTTTTGTAGATTTGCTGCTGTGCTTCGGATTATTGTCCCGTTAAACGACCCAGTTCTGAACAAGCTTCAGAATCCAGACAAATATCTTTGATACACAGTAGAGTATTTGGTCAACCAAGTGACTGTAAGGTGTTTGGGACCACTTCTTGTGCAAGGCTCCCTATACAACATACATATTCATTAAAGTAAATAGAATATTTTCTTTGCGTATAAATGACAAACATACTTAGGTCTATTTCAGTACCTAAATCCTGGTCATTGCCTCATGAAATGACTTGGCCCATGGTACTGTTTATTCCGTATAATAGCCCCTTTTTTCCCTCTGAAAGTACATATGCTTAAGGAAAGTAGATTGTATGTAATACAAAGAGGCTCTATGTTGTGTATGCCAATTAGGCTGTGGGAACTAATTCATTGTAAGAGTATAGCAGGGGAAGCAAGACTATTACACAGACTTATACATATAAGCTCACAGTCTTAAGAATCAATTTAAGTATAGATCAAGAAACACATTTATCAACATTTCTCCTGGAATACTAAAACAGTTGAAAGTCTGAAGGTCATTTACTTTGTTTAGCTACTGATAATCAGTACACTGCTAGGGTTTTGAAAAATTTCCATAAGTATATATTTTGACCTCAGACATATGGGGGAAAAATGTCTCCAGAGAAACAACCGGTTCTTATCAGGTTTTGGAAGTAAAGTGAATCATCGTTTTCTTTTTTAAACAACAATGCTCCCCTCTGCAGAGTTTGCCTTGCACAAGTGACTTGGAAATTATCCTTACACAACCTGGGTTCAAACATACAGCTTCAGGATTACAAGACTGTGTCACAAACCACAGAGCTACTGCAGCTCCCAACATGTGCTATCAAATAGTGCTGGGCGGTATAACATTTTGTACCGAATACTAGTTTTTATTTTTGTTATGATATGAATTTTCTGAATACTGGACATCAGGTTTAAATAGCCTGAACACGTGCGGAACGTTTCGTCGTGGCCGCCAGTGAACTGTTTCCTGGGGGACACTTTTCCTTGCAGCACTGCTGTGTGCGTTAGCATGCTAATGTTTGGAGCAGCTTGTTGCAGCAGCGGGTGACGATTCCGCTGCTTATATTGACTGACGTTTAAAAAAAATCCCATTTTTGCCATCGCTGAATGTAGTAAACACCTCTTCAGTGACGTACATGGTTAGATTTAACGCGGTTAGTTAATTTGAGACGTTATGCTGATGGAGACTTAACGTGCTTTTATTGTGAAAAGCCTGGGGGAAGTAGTTTGTAGGGATGTCCCGATACCACTTTTTCACTTCCGATACGATACCGATATTACAACTTTGAGAAATGTCCGATACCGATATTGACCGATACCGATATTGACCCGTTACTATAACAGTGCAAGTCACACACTTTTACCTATTTTGTAGTGTAAAATCTTAGAAAAATCTTGATCAGATCAAACAGTGAAAACGAGTAGGTATGAGAAAAACTGACCCATTTATTTTAAACCAATGGATCACATACATTTTACACTGAAGAACATTATACAATTTAATAAATAAAATAAATTACAATACCCTGAAAAAATAACATAATAAAAACAAAATGTACTTT